CCCCAAAACCCCAAAACCCCAAAACCCCAAAACCCCAATTAAAATTTTATTTATTGGAATTTTCTAAATATTAAAATTTCTCCTTATTTTGGAACTCTTTTTGACCTATTGTGGTAGGGCTGTTCTGTTCAAATTTTCTAAGCTGGGAGTGGCTCCTTGGTATTGTGCAAGTCATCGAATTGCTCTTCTTTTTCTTCCTCATCCTTCTCATCTACCTCTGCTATTGCTTTAGGATGTGTGGTCTCGGGGTTGACGACGGTATCCATAGCTTGAATAAACTCTTCAAAGTTGATCTCTTCATTACCGTCCTTATCAATTTCTTGAAGAATACTTTCCCACTCTTCTTCAGTTTTATTTAGTTCCCTTAGTCTGGAAGGCTTTGCGAAGCTCTTTCTTACTGATGTTGCCTGAGCCATCAGAATCCAACTGAGTAAACATGTTTATCAACTCTTGTTTACGAATAAGGTTCTTTTTGTTAATAGTTGCTGAGAGGAACTCTGAGTAATCGATATACCCTGATTTATCTATATCAAGAAGTTGGAAAATTTCTTGAACTTCTGCGTAGTTAACTGATCCCATGATCTTTTTGATGTATTCAGCGATTTCTTTATCGGTGAGTTTACCATCGTTATTTTTATCTATTTGCTTGAATATTTCAGATAACTTGTTAACCTCGTCCCGCTGTGCACACTTGTAAGTCAGGAAATGTACAACTCCTTGCTGGAGTTTGTTATGCTGAGCATATAATTGCAAATTATTTAGGCTATCTTTGATCACATTTTCATCAACTTCAATAGTTGGAGTTTTGGTAATCCATTTATGTTCGAGTAATTCTGATGCACTTTCTCTTTTCTTGGGATCTACAACAAGACACTTTTTAATGAAATCTTTGCAGTCCTCTGAAACCACCCTCCAGATCTTACTGTCAAATGAGAACTTGCCTGATTTTATCGATTTGAAAAGTTCGTTTCTAGTATCTCCATCGAAAGGAGGGTCACCACTAATTAGGAAATAAGTAATGACACCAAGGCTCCAAACATCCACTTCAGCCCCATATTTTTTCTCACTTATGATTTCTGGTGCAATGTAGAGAGGGGTGCCGAGGACTTCCTTCATACCTTTGCCTGTTTTACAAATTCCTGCGAATCCAAAATCAACGAGTTTACAGTTTGAGTCATCACTCTTGCTTTCAAAAAGAATATTATCTGGTTTCAAATCTCTATGTACAATTCCTTCTTGGTGGCAGTAATTAAGAGCGAGGAGGATTTGCCGAACAATTACAGCACAATCTTTCTCAGTGAACTTTTCTCTCCTGGATATAGTCTTGTAGAGCTCACCCCCTTCAAGATATTCTGTGACAATGTAGTAGAATACTTCATCTTTCCAAAATTCAAAAATTTTTATGATGTGAGGATTATCCATCTGCTTCAGGATATTATATTCATTAAGCAGCATTTTTACTCTATTTTTCCGAAGTCTCTAGCTCTTTTCTGGGGATCAACTTAATCGCTCTGAAAGAACCGGTATCAGTGGATGAAGAATTGATTTTATTTAGCTAAACGTACTTCTCCAAAGGCGCCAGCTCCAAGAATTTTAGTAAAGTGATATTCTTTCTCAATGTTGCCTGTTCGTACAGTAATTGTACTTTCTTTGGAAATACCTAACCCGGCTTTCTTCTTTTTATTAACAGCCTCATCTTTGGCAGTGCTTCTTCCTCAACCCATGTTATCTTTAATTATATTTTTACTTGGGGTTTTGGGGTTTTGGGGTTTTGGGGTTTTGGGGTTTTGGGGTTTTGGGGTTTTGGGG